CCCCCCCCCCTCTCTTAAAAAATTAAAATTCCAAGCCTTACTGGTATGCAAATACTGACCAAACGTCTTAGGTCAGGTGCTTGGCCCCATCCCTCTGGTCATGGGGGCGACCCACCACTGCGAGGACCAGCCTTCACTGGGCAACAATAAAGCTTGGGAGATGGGGGCCAAGCCCTCTTTCCACAAAGAACCAATATTTGTGTAGTGTCCTGGTCTTCAGGTACATTTGTACACACCTGAATGTGTTAGCAGGGGTTAAAGCAAAGCAATGGGTTCAGTTTATTGCCCCCTTCCCCAGTAGAACATATACCCTTTACCGTTCTTTTTTTAAGTTGCCTCCAAGTGCTGAGTCATTCCAGTGGGACCTTACACAGTACTAAGGACTGTTTCCCTACCACCTGTGACATTGCTGGGCCAATCACCAAGCACTGTCATAAGAGAGGAAGGCAATTGAGTTATGTGCTCCTCCGTATACAGAAGTACTGGGTATTTTCTGTGATCCCACTGACTAAACAGAGTTGCAGGGGAGCCAAAGAAAGTTGAATATGTGTTGTCATTAAAATTAACCTGTTGCTTTAAAGTCCATTTTCACCTTTGTAATCGATTAGCATTTGTTGTGGTAACGTTGAGGTGCAGTGATGATGTACAGTATTATGTGTGCACATTTTCATGACTCACATTGCAGGTTTTCTTCATTTTTTTAAAGAACATCTTATTAGACCTAGAAATGAAAAATGTTCTCCACAGGGAAGTCTGACACCGGAGTCGGATTGTAAAGCAGGCTGTAAACAGCTGCCCTCCTACCTGTGATTCTGTGTATCACGATCACTGCACATCATACACTGTCAAAGGAGGGGCAGGGGGGGGAGAACTCACAGAGAGCCCAGTTGTAATATACACAGACTACTTGCAGAGCAAAGAGGCGGCCATTTCCATGAGGATATGAAGAGGAAAGCTAACAAAAAGATGTAAGTTTCTGTGCTCTAATACAGCAACTGCATATGTCTGCATCAGGCACACTCTTTGTACATTGCTGGCAAATGTTTTTTTTTTTTTTAAATACCTCCGCAAAGGTGGTAAGTGGTAAAGTGGTAAAGGTAAGTGGTAAAGTGAGCTAAAAATATTTCCATTTATTAATGCATGTAATATGTTCTCTAAAACAGCGGTAGCCAACCGGTGGTCCGCGAGAAACTTTTGGTGGTCCCTGGGCCCCTCTGATGCCGTGCAGACTGAAGAGGCACGGAGGCTCTGGGGCTGCTTCCCACTGACTCAAGCAGCGGTTATCACAAGGAATGCACGGCTCTCAGTACAGTGCGGGCTCTGCAGGAGGCGTGGCATCTCGTCAGTACCTGGACTGAGCAGGCTGCGGGACATAGAAAAAGTGAGAAGCCAAACAGCACTGCTACTCCTGCAGACACACCCACACCTATGTATGTACTGTATGTGTACATATACTGTATGCAGGGCTCAAAATGTCATGTCCTGAGTTACTAGCCAGGGCTTAAGAGTTACCCGCCACTAGTTGCCCCATCTAACCTCTACCCTGTCCCGGCCTTAACTCCGCCCCTAAACACACCCTCTTAAATAATCTTATGATAATTCTTATCTTATGATACTTGCTTGTAAGCGGCAGATTAGGGATTCCTGCTGCAGGAAAACGCAAGTGCCTGACGCAGGAATCCCTAATCACACCTGAAATATAGGTGTAAATTGGGGCCCAATATACACACACTAAAACACATTAATACACTTCTCAACGTTACTCCCCCTGCACAAATATAATAATAAAATCCCCCCCGCACACAAAAAATAATACATTCCCCCCGTTATAAGCCCCCACACATAAAATAAATATATTTCTCTCTCTCCCTTATTAACCCCCCCACACAAAATAATACACTCCCCCTTACTAACCCCCCCCACACAAAATAATACACTCCCCCTTACTAACCCCCCCCACACAAAATAATACAAAGGGCTTGCGATGATCTCAAGTACGATCTGCCTGTCCAAGATGGGCAGATCGTACGAAATTTTAATGACCTTACAACCATCGCACAACTAAAGTTGTGCAATGATTGTAAGCTGTATGGGCAGCTTAAAACACAATAATACACTCAACGTTACACCCTCCCCCCCCGCACAAATATAATAATACAATTCCCCCCGCACACAAAATAATATACTCCCCCTCATTAACCCCCCGCACATATAAAATAATGAAAGTAAAACACTCCCCCTTCCCAACCCCGCACACACAAAATAATAATACACTCCCCCCCTCCCGTTTATGGCTTTGCAGGGAGGAGGCAGTGAGGAGGATCGATCCCTGGTGATCTAGGGGTAGATTAGTGAGGTCTGCAGACCTCACTAATACATCCTTTTCTTTCGGCCGGAGCTCAGAACTGTCAGAGCTCCGGCCGAAGGAAGCCAGAGGTGACAGGAGCTGCTCTGCACCCGACACAGATGCAGACCGTGGAGCTGCTCCCGCAAGTCAGGTACGCAGTCTGCAATTGCGTGCCTGACATGTGAGCTGGCTGCTGGGCCACATGGTACCGGCTCGCGGGCCAGAGTTGTCCCGCGGACCGGTACTTGGAGACTCAAATTTCGCCCTCATGCGAGCAGGCGAGTGGAAATTTTGAGCCCTGCTGTATGTATATATAGATATAGTCTCATACTTTTTGTTTTCTCATATATAAATATATTCTCGTGTGTGTGTGTGTGTGTGTGTGTGTGTATCCGCGGGATTTAAAATTATGATTTAGTGTTCCATGAGGTCTGAAAGGTTGGCGACCGCTGCTCTAAAACACAGTACCTTGGGGTGGGGGTTAACAGCTAGGATTTGTCAAGAAATGATTACAATTATTTTCTCATCGTCTTTTATAAAGTAATATTTTTGTGCATTCCTTTGTAACCAATATACCTCTAACATGTAGCAGTGGTCATCACTGTGGTCTACATCAATCAGAGAGAAGCAGCTTGAATTAGAAATTTAATAAAGGACGTGGAAGATATACTAATATAAATATGGTAGGTACTTTAAACACTAAAACAATGAAATATCGTTAAACTGAGTACAGGAAAGCACGGCAATAATTCACAGATAATAGATACCTGAATGGCTTCACATACATCGTGTCATTATTGGTGCCCAAAACGTTGAATACCCAGTGTTACAGTTAAATATTAAGTATTCTTTATTAAAACCAAAACATGACCAACCACTTGGCTGATTACAGGACACGTTAACTTCATTGTATTTAGATTTTTAGAGATAAAAGGAAATGTTTTATAAAATGTACTTAAGTTCCTGGTGGTTGAGTAGTCTTTTGTCCTTCAACAAGTGTTGCCACGGCAGCAAGTTTTTCCATTTTATGTGTATAGCGGTGCTTTTTTAGTCCATACGTATTGCTGAAAGCCTCACCACAGGTTCCACATTTAAAGGGACGCCCACCTTGATGGGTTTGTACATGTTTGCTGAAATACTTTGGATCCTTAAACAGTTTGAGGCAACAGGAACAACGAAGATCTGCTTTTGCAGCGTGAGATCTTTGATGACGCAAGATGGATGAAATGTAGAAGAAGCTTTTACCACACTGATCGCACCGGTACACCTTTTCGCCGAGATGCACTCTCTGGTGTTCTAAGAGATTGGAGCGGTAACGGAACGTTTTACCACAGGTTGGGCACCGCTGAGGGCGTGCTACAATGTGTAGTCTCTGGTGTTCTGCTAAACTAGAGGACTGGGCAAACCGTTTGTTGCACAAGGCACACTTGTATGCTCGCTCACCAGTGTGCACAACTTTGTGCTGACGGAGATACCATGAATGTAAGAAACCACGTCCGCAAATGGTGCATCGGTAAGGTCGCTCTTCTGTATGGCAGCGCTGATGGCGCATGAGAAGTGTCGCTTCCCAGAAGCGCTTACCGCATAAAGAGCATGTGAAATGTCTCTTTTGCAAGTGGCTGCGACGATGAAGCAGCAAATCGTATGCTCCCGCAAAACTTTGCCCACAGACATTGCAAGCTAGCGTGCGTCTGACTAAGTGTACATATTTATGGGTTACCAAACCCAAGAAGTGCTTGAAAGTCTGACCACAAATACTGCATGAAAATCTCTCACCGCTAGGTATCATTGGGTGCTCGTCGGAAGTGGAATTCACATGTCCGCTGGAAGTATCTGCTGTTACCGATGTGGAGACCAATTCATTTGTAAGACTATTCTGCATACAGTTTGCTTGATTGCTTTCGGTTTCTTGACACTGGCTTAAACTGGGCAGCAGACGTTCTGTAGCTGTTTGGTGGACAAGTTTGTGCCACATCAGGTTTTCAATAAAGCCAAAACATTTTCCGCACGTATCACAAACATAGGGCTTTTCACTCATGTGGAGTTCTTTATGATTCATTAGATGAAAGGAGTCTGGGAACCTCTCTCCACAATCTGTGCATCCAAAACTAAGTCGATCAGGGGGCAGGGCTCCTGTTGGTACTGTACAAGGCAGCTGAAGCCTATGAATCTGCTTGTGGCGTGTCAAGCTCTGAGGGTAGCCAAAAACCTTGCCGCACAGCTCACATTTGTAGGGCCGTTCACGAGTATGTACAACATGATGTTTAGTAAGATGGAACGACTCTCTGAACCTCTTGCCACAAACTGAACACTGGTGCGGTTTTTCACCGGTGTGGATCCGTTCGTGGCGCTTTAGGGTTTCTCTTCTTCCGAATCCACGTCCACATATATTACAGCAGAAGTTTTTGCTTACATTACTTGAGAGAGATGATTGTCTACGAGGAGAGGGCTGAGCAAAAACAGATCCAATTCTTTCAATAACACTGACAGCTGCTTGGTCGGCCTGAGCAACATCTGTGGTAAGGAGAGTTGTGGTTTCATAAGGGACTGCTGCAACTGCTTCCTTGACATCTACATGAATTGCTTGTTGCTGTGGCACCAATGCCTGTGGCAACGAAAGACTGGCCTCATGCGCATGTTTGTGTCTTAAAAGACTCTGTGGAGCAGCGTATGATTTCCCGCACACATCGCACTTGTAATCCGGTCGTTCCCCAGTATGGGTAGCTTGGTGCTTTAATAAATAAGTGGTGTCACGGAAGGCTTTGCCGCACACCTCACACTGAACCTTCAGTGAGTTGGAGTGTGTCTTCACATGGCGTTTTAAGCTTTCACGGCGATTAAAACTTTTTTCACATATGTTACAGCTAAAAGGCTTTTCCCCAGTATGTATAATCTGGTGCTGATGAAGGTGACTTTGCTTTTTAAACACTTTCCAGCACAGGTTGCAAGTAAATGGACCATCTTGCTGCATAATTACATTTTGCTCTGCCCCAGCCACAGGCACTTCCCCAGAACTCACCTGAGGAGCCGACATTGCAGCTGTGGCGGCTGCCACTACCGCAGCTGCAGCAGCAGTCTCAACATCTGCGTTTGTCAATGAACTGTTTATATCCACTCCCGTCTCCTCTCTATGGCAGCGCCTATGTCTTATGAGGCTGGAGATATGATTGTACGTACGCCCACAAATATTACATTCGTAGGGCCTCTCCCCAGTGTGAACCAGCATGTGCTGCATTAGATGTGATGACTGCTTAAAAGACTTCTGGCAGACAGTACAGGGGAAGCGGCGATCGATTAGATACTTCAGTCGACGGAAGTAATTTTTATCGTCTTTTGTTTCCTCTTCAGCTTGCACCTGCTGTGCTACTGGTAAGGAGCGTTTCAAGTTGTTGAAAAGATGCTGATGGCTAGAAAGATCAACAATTCCCCACTGCTGCGAGTTAAATGTTCCGTCAAAGATAGCTTGTGCGTTGGAGATTGAAGGCGGGGCGTTATATTGTTGCAACTGTACAGGTTCAGATTTTTTAATAGGAGACACAGAGGAGGAGATTTCTACTTTGAATTCTTTAGGTTTAGAAATGCCAGCAGGGGTCGCTTGAATACTGTTAGCCTGGGGCTGGTGACTATAGTCATACTGTGGTGAAGTACAAGGCAGGGCAGCTACAGCTTTAGCATGTTCATGGTGGTTGTACAGTTCCATAGGTTCAAAGCGCTGGTGGTTAAGGAATTCGAGGAAATCAAAAGGGTAGCTTTGAAAGTGAATGCCCTCCTCTCCTGCATTAGCTTCCATCTCATAAAAGCCCACTAACCTGAAACAGAAATGAGACATTTTAAATGGGCATATTAAAAACACATTCATATTTCTTATGATTATAAATCCACAGCATTTATTCATTAAAGAAGAACCCTAATTCATGTAGTTTGGTTATCCAGACGTTACAAGGCCAGATATAACTATTACTTAAAGGAGAACTATGAGGTGAGTGCTTTTCGCTCACCTCATAGTTCTAGCCGACGTGTGACAATGAGACTGTCACAGGTCGGCTCAGTAGATCGGGAGGTGAGCGAACACATACCGGAGTTCGCTCACCTCTCGATCCTGTCCCTGCAGAGAGCCGTGACAGGGGAGGAGCTGGATTCTCCCCTCCCCGCTGACTGGCGGATCGGACGGGGGAGGGTAGAGCTGGCTCTGCCTCTAGGTAGGCCGAGCCAGATGTCACTCACGCAGCTGGGCGGATCCAGACATAATTGTCGGGATCCGTTTCGGCGTCTCAGTATACCGCGAGCTACTGCTCGCAGTATTTTACTGTGGTGTCTCAGTATACCGCGAGCTGGAGCTCTCAGTATACTGAGCTTAGGGTGACGGGAGGATGCTAGTTTGTGTCCTCCCGTTACCCTAAGGAGAACTATGGGGAAAAGCCCTAACCCCATAGTTCTCCTTTTACTTTGCTTCTCATGGCATATGATAAAGTGTACCAGCTTGTTCTGTCTGCATTAAAAGCATGTCACAATAAGAAATCAAGTTAATTGGGTCACTCTGTAGAAAAGAGGGACTGTACCTGAAAGTGATCCGGTTGTGTGAAATACAAACACACACAAATGGTAGGCTCCATGTGGTGAATGCCACCAGATATATTATTCTGAAGTTGTTTCCTGTGTTTGAAAGAAAGACCCCAGCTACAGAGAGCTCCTCCTTTATTCTAGCCAAGTCAGCTGTGCCCATTTAGTAACCCCTTGCAACAGCTACCGGTACTGAAGTGACCGCGAGCTCATGGCGAATACATATGACATAAGGTATACTGACCTGGCCAGCTAAAGTGGTACCGTTCCACTGTATGCCTTACGTTGGTGGCAGTGAAAGGGTTAAAGCACATGTCTAGGTTACAAAAGAAGGAAAAATCACCTCCCAAGGTTCTAACCTTTGCTAGAAGGCCCCCAACCCTCCTTTGTGCTTTGCTACTTCTCCCTTACAGCATTACCTCCTCTGGGGTTTCCATCCTCAGCCTTGAAATCTTCTCTTTTCACTGGCAGCATCTGTGCAGTAACACCGCCCCCCCGATTGACTTGAATGCCCCAAGCTATACCGATACACGTGATACGGTAAGGATATATCCAAATTCAGGTCAATGTGGAGTTACTGCACAGGAATAGCCAGATTTCTGGCTCAAGGATGTAAACACCAGAGGAGACCAGTGCTGTCATGGAGAGGTAAGTAAGAACCTAGTTGATAAATGTAGGGGGCAAGGGATAGGTGAACTGTTATTTAGACTATGTTCACACCATGTCCGGACCAGATCTGGAGCAGATGGGCAAACACAGTGAAGTGCATTTGTGCCGCGATTTTGCCACGTTCCAGAACGTTTTTTGTTTTTAGCTTAAAAATGGGCGTTCAGGTGCATTCCAGTGCGTTGCATGCATTTTTGAAACATTTACATGCATTCCAGAGTGTTCCGGACCAGAGAAAATAAAACCAGCAGTATTTTTTTTGTCTGAACCAGAACGGACTGCTCTGGTGTGAACCGAGCCCAGAAATACCATAGGGATGCATTAAGATGCTTTTTTGGTCCGGGAACAAACTGTTCCACTGCCCTGGACATGATCCGGACATGGTGAGAACAAACCCTTAAAGGAGGCAGAGAATTCAGTGAAAATTAGTTTCCAAGGTTTACGGCTGCAACAACTAATCGACATAATCGATTATAATCGATTATTGGAAAAGTTGTCAACTTTTTCAATCATCGATTAATCGGCTTCCGATTGGTTGGCCCTGTTCACGACTCAACACACGCTGCGCGTCACACCTGCTCCCCACCTAACGCTCGCCACTCCCAGACCCGCCCGGCCACATCCACACGCCGCACCTCCTCGCACTCACCGCCCGCCCACATCCACGATCGGCACAGGGACGCGGGGAGAAAAAGTAAGGAGGAGCAGGTGTGGGGGGATGACAGCCGCCGATAGACAGGCCCGATCTCAGAAACAAGTTGCTGGAAGACTGTTCAGGTAAGCTTGCACTTTCCCCCCCACATGGTTCTCTATAATGTATTGCTGGGATAGTGGGATTAGTATTCCTCTATAGCTGATGATACATTCTGCTGTACTGTATATTATACAGAGCAATATACCATCAACTATAGAGGAATACAAATCCCAGAAATACATTTGTATGTATAATGTATTGCTGGGATTTGTTGTACTCCTATAAAGCTGGTGGTATTCTGCATTGCGCTGTATAGAGGTCTACAAAACCCAGCAATAGTACAATATACAGCGCAATGCAGAATACCACCAGCTATAGAGGACTACAAAACCCAGCAATAGTACATTATAGCTGGTGGTATTCTGCATTGTGCTGTATAATGTACTACTGCTGGGTTTTGTAGTCCTCTATAGCCGGTGCCATTCTGCATTGATTGCTGTATAATTTTACACTTTTCATTTCACTATATTGCACACCACACTTTTTTTTTTTTTACTTCCACCGATCCAAGCTTGCTCCTGTGATGGACTAAATCTCAATACAAACTAGTAGTCCCATCACTGGAGCCATTTTTTAACATTTTATTTTTTATCCGATTAACCGATTAATCGAACTTAATAATCGGCTAACTAATCGATTTTGAAAATAATCGTTAGCTGCAGCTCTACCAAGGTTTATTGGCAGCAGTGATTGGACTACATGGCTCCAGGGATCTGTCCTGATCTGCTTTGTGTCATTTATTAGTGGAGGAAAAACGGCAGCATCCAGAAACCAATCGGCTCAGTCAAGGATCCAGAAAGACTTTCTGACCTTTTTTATGGTCAGGGCTGTTGTGCACCTACAGTATGTGGTATGTCAGTTACAGGAATGGTGCTGATCCTTTCTCCTTCTCTTCCATCCCTTCCAATTCCCACTGACTGTGAGCTTGTAATCCTATCATCAGTCTCTACTTGTCCAAATGTCACTACCTACTCTGCAGAACAGTGATCCCTCTTAGCACAGTGCCAGCCCATATAAGCTCAGTATGAGGCATTCTGTGTTTCTGCTGTACCAGAGCCAAACTGAAGAAATACATTGATCTTTGAAATACAAGGTAGATATTGGTGACCTCCTAAGAATACTTGTTGCCTGGCTGTCTCTGGTTTCGGTATTTCCTAAGGCAGTGTCTCAGAAAAGGCATGCAGGTTAGAATGTGAACGTGAAGACATAACTGCTCGGCATAATCGCTTTAGGTCAGTGTCTCAGAAAGTGCTGAAGCCAATAGATAAGCATGACAGCCAGGAAAACATCATTAAAGGTGAGGTTACCATTGGCACACTCTATTCTATCTCAGTAAATGTTTCCTGCCTCGGGAGAGGAGGGTCCTGGCTCAGATTTTACCGGAAGGGTGAACAGTTGCATCTCTTGATCCATTGATTATTCTGGCATGTCACCCATTTTCTCATCATATTTTCCGTATTAATAGCCCAGGTTACTGACAGGTTTATTTTACAGTACACCTTCCATGAAAGGTCAGCTTTACGCACAGCCCTTCCTCCTAAATACAAATCCATAGACATTTTTAGTGTTAGGCTCAGTGCCAGTAACCCCATTGGCATGGATGGCATCTGTTCCGATCAGTGGCGGATCCATGAACAGATCTCCTGATGATCAGAGCAGTAAAGAATGGAGGGTCACTTTTGTGAAATATGTGTCCGTTCAGATGTTTCCACCATCTTACAAATACATTTGGTGTCTTCAAATTTAAAAACTGACTGCTGGACCGTAATGCTGGCTCACATCATCCGATGGGGTCCAGGGTGCCAGAGAGCCCCAAAACCTGGGGGGCTCCACTATGCAAATTCTGATGAGGTATTTCTGTCTCTGATGTGTATCTGTTGGACACAGGGCAGGACTCTGGGCTCCCTAAAAAGAACCTGTCACCATGAGGATTTACTGTCAAACAAGAGGACAATCATCTCCCTTGTGACAACAATAAAGATAAGGAATGTAAATAAAATGTAGAGAAATAAAGTTTGTTTAAACACATATGAACTTGCATGACAAACATGTTATGGTGTGCACAATGCACACAGATGTCGCATCCATTAGCTCCCCCCTTACCTATCAGACTTGTACGAAATGCAGTAAAGACATTCATTAGTGTGACACTAGAGGGATGAAGCGTCGAGGCCGGATTCACATTTCTGCATTCTGGTAATGTATGTAACATGCGTTGCTGCTTTGTGGTGCGATTCCTTTTGTATGGCACCCCAATGCAATAAGGGAACGCACTTGTGCTGTATGTTGCCGTGTGTTGCATCACAGAACAAGGGCCATTTTCGGCACACTAAGGTGTAGAAGCAGCTCACTGGGCTGCCATAACACACAGCAAAGATGTAAATGAGTCCTCAATGGATGAAAGTGTCACTGATCCCTCCATGTAAAAGAACATTGGGATCCAGCATAATGTCCTCAACCATGTTTACATTAATAGTCATTTTCTTTTTTTACTAATCCAACATGATGTTTTACTATTGTGTTCTCCCCGTGCTGTCCGCATTCCCACACGCTCATATTATAATAATATTGTGTGCCATGTGGTTCTATAAGGCCAATGATGTCACCAGCATCCCGCCCCTTTGTTTACATGCAGCAGAGTGGGCGAGTCCCCGGCCGCAGGTGATTGGGTCATTACTGACAGCTTCCTTCCAAGTTCACTCTGAACATGGGCTCCTCCCTATTAATCACATCAGACGCAGATATGGAATGTGAACTTGTTTTGTTTTGGGTCTAAGGACACTGTAAGAATAAACTCCAAACAAATGAAAACACTTCACTGCAAGGGTTAAGTGCTCCTTTTTGTCCAGGGGACTCGCGTAGGGCCGATATACTCATTCGATCCCGGCTCCCACGACGCTTCTCTCTCTGCATCTAATGCGAGTCATTGAACCTGCATAAAACCTGATGATCTGAGTGGTCCTTACACCACCGGAACCCAGAGGACGAGAGGCTGCGGGGACCGGTCTAGCAGCTTGGAGGGAGCTGGCACAAACAACTGATCACTCCCGCCCAGCTGCTGGACAGGTGAATAAACCCTTTATGTCCGCCCATAGACCAAAATGTGCACTTAACCCTTGCAGTCAGTGAGGTAGCCCCAGAACACTGCAAGGGTTACGTTTTTTATTTGCCTGGAGTTCAACTTTAATAAGCCCCCATATTACAATGCTGTGTATCCCCATTCTTCTCATAGAGCTTATGCCTGATATAGTTATTGATGACCGCCATTCCCATGTAATGTCAGCGGACGTGTCCGCCATTCCCATGTAATGTCAACGGGCGTGTCCGCCATTCCCATGTAATGTCAACGGGCGTGTCTGCCATTCCCATATAACGTAGCAGGCTTGTCTGCCATTCCCATGTAATGTCAGCAGACATGTATGCCATTCCCATGTAATGTCAGCGGACATGTATGCCATTCCCATGTAATGTCAGCAGACATGTATGCCATTCCCATGTAATGTCAGCAGACATGTATGCCATTCCCATGTAATGTCAGCAGACATGTATGCCATTCCCATGTAATGTCAGCAGACATGTATGCCATTCCCATGTAATGTCAGCAGACATGTATGCCATTCCCATGTAATGTCAGCAGACATGTATGCCATTCCCATGTAATGTCAGCAGACATGTATGCCATTCCCATGTAATGTCAGCAGACATGTATGCCATTCCCATGTAATGTCAGCAGACATGTATGCCATTCCCATGTAATGTCAGCAGACATGTATGCCATTCCCATGTAATGTCAGCAGACATGTATGCCATTCCCATGTAATGTCAGCAGACATGTATGCCATTCCCATGTAATGTCAGCAGACATGTATGCCATTCCCATGTAATGTCAGCAGACATGTATGCCATTCCCATGTAATGTCAGCAGACATGTATGCCATTCCCATGTAATGTCAGCAGACATGTATGCCATTCCCATGTAATGTCAGCAGACATGTATGCCATTCCCATGTAATGTCAGCAGACATGTATGCCATTCCCATGTAATGTCAGCAGACATGTATGCCATTCCCATGTAATGTCAGCAGACATGTATGCCATTCCCATGTAATGTCAGCAGACATGTATGCCATTCCCATGTAATGTCAGCAGACATGTATGCCATTCCCATGTAATGTCAGCAGACATGTATGCCATTCCCATGTAATGTCAGCAGACATGTATGCCATTCCCATGTAATAGCAGCAGACATATATGCCATTCCCATGTAATGGCAGTGGACATGTATGTCATTCCCATGTAATGGCAGTGGACATGTATGCCATTCCCATGTAATGCCAGTGGACATGATGTTCTATGTGTGTGCAGTACCTGTGTCACCCCTCTCCCTCCCTCTATAGCGGTGGTCTGTCCCCATATGTGTGACCGATGACATGCTTCACCTGTGACCAAGAATCCCGGGCTGTCACTCTATTCTCCTGCGCTCAGATGACACTCCGGCCTGCCCATTCCATGGAGCCCGAGGACCGCGGTGCTTCCGTCACGTCCATCCTCCATTCACCCCCACACACCAGGCTGGGACAGCCCGAGCTTCTCATGGTCGGCCCGGAGCGCCTTACACCGGGAAGGGCCGCTGACCGGGGAGGAAATGGTTGCAGCCAGTTCCCGTCCTGCGGAAGGAGCCGGAAGTGATGTCAGTGGAAGAGGAAGTGGGCGGGGCCCGGGAAGAGGAAGCTGTGACTTGTGCGCTAGTTTCCTCTTCCCGGGAGGAGAGAAGAGTTTGTGCTCCGGGCTAGTGTATTGAGCTTTGTGCACTGGCGGGGCTAGGTGTGTGTTCAGCGTTGGGTGCTGAGTGTTCTAGGGGTTACTATGTGCTATCTGCGCTCATTATAATCACCTGATGCACTCTCAGTGTTCCAATAAGGAAAGCTGTAGTGTTCCATGAGGCCCCATGTCTGTGTATTGAGTGGATTGGGCGAGTTTTGAGTTGCTCTGTAAGACTGATGAGAACAATGCTGTAGGAAAAAATGACAGCTGGTAGAATCCATAACACTTGGCAGCTGTTTATATGTAATTGGACGCAAACTATGTCAATTAAATGTGAGCGGCTGCAGGCACTTTCAGCTGTCATTGCTTTCTATAGCACTTTCCACCATTCTGGAGCAATTGGTGAGACTCGTCCGATCGATTGGCCCTTTGCACAAATGTGAATGGGGACAGAGAGGACAATACAGCTTTCCTCATTGGAACACTGAGTGCCCCAGGTGATTATAATGGGCACAGGCTACACCCCAGTACAGTCAGCACCCAAACACTGAACAAGCCTTAGGAAGGACTTTTGAGAAAATCAATCAGCCAAGCACAGAAGCAGGAAATGACATTGGGGGGCATTGGTGTACAGAGTCCTTTGAGGTTACCATACTTCATTGTATTTTTCATCAGTTTTAGGCTAGGTTCACACCTGGGCAACTCCTGACCCTGCGGCAATCGTGCACAAAACCAGGTGGATTGCCGGGCGGTCACAAAAACGCCCACCAAAGCCGATTGCACTGTGGGTGCCGTTATTTTCTAATGGCACCCCAGTGGTGCCGGGCGGATTGCATGGTTTCCCACCACGATTCCGCCCATGTAATTGAACATGATCGCGGCTAAGAAAGGGGCGCATCATGTGTTGCAAAAAAACTTTTACCTTTTTTTTAGCGATTGCCACGCGGATGTAACCTTATTGATATGTAACCCCATTGGCCGTGGGGCAACCACTTTGTTCACTAGCACACAATTGCGCAGTCCCGGGGCATGCGTCCCAGTCGTCGCTCAGGTCTGAACCTAGCCTTAGAAAATGACTGGCTGCAGAAATGGAGAGGTAGGTATTTTTTCAAACCATGAAATTACAAAATGGCTTGTGCATCAATTTTATGGGCTGTATTGTTTCTGGACTTCTATGGGACTGTGTCCCAAAGCCAGAGATGGTCCGTGGGGCTGTAATACATGGGGACGGCTAAAACAATGAAGACTTGCTGTGCTGGATGTAAACAGCAGAACCACGGCAAGATAAGTATGCTTTTGTGGTGGGGCAGGCTGGGTTAACATAGGGGGCAAAAAGGATAAGTGCACTTGTCCTTTAAGGCAGAATGGTGCCATTGTCATGGTAACAGCTTTGCCCCCCTCCCAATTCTTTTCAGTTAACATTGATGGGGATTTCAATAGAGGGCGGCTTCTCTGCATATCTGCCATGTGGTAATGCCATGGCCTCAATGGACACTGCTTGCCTACAAGTGGAGCCTACCTTGTGAGGTAACAGGTTTGACAATTGTGCTACCCCCCTGATTTATTGCAGGACCATGAAGGTTAAACATCCATCAGGCCCAAGGATCCTGCCTAGGTTGCCTTGTGACTGATCCATCTCTGAATGTAAGGTGTGGTAGGCCTGAACTTCCCCCTCACCATGAAGACACCAGCATAGTACTTTAGGAGTGCTCCAATTCAAAAATAGCCACACTCCATGGATCTTCTATTACATGTCCAAGCTTTATTGTAATCCACAAATATCCATGACATTCCACGTAATCCACTATACACCACATAACGCTCCCCATTTGAAAAGAAACCCTCTCATGGGTTTCACGCACCCTTTTTAGCCAGCACCTGGGGTATCTCCACCGCAGGAACCCAACCGTAGAATTGGAGCGGTGAGAGGTTTTGTATTCACTTTAGGAGTGCAGTTTGATAACCGTATGGCAAGGAGTTAGCATGTGACCCTCTAGTTGTGTTTATATTACAAGTTCACTACACAACTTATTGGTGTACACTGAAACTCCTCTCAGTGCTGAAAATAAAACTGTGGACAGAGTATGGATGTTCACATATTTACATATTCTTAAAGTGACCCTGTCATATTTTAAAGAACTGCAGCCGATTATCTCTTGCTAGAGAAGAGGTGACATGCTCACCATTGGTGGTCCTTATCCCCTATCTCCACACTGTTCCAGTGCTGCAGCTTCCGCCAATCTCTTTCTAATTCTGCACTTCTGGGAGTCAGATGCCCGAGTCCCCTGATCATCCCTATGTCACTGCTGTAATGACATAGGGGTTGGCGAAACCTTGGCACAAGGAGGGGGACACAGTCACCCAACACTCTGAAAGTGTCACAAGTTAAAGACACTAGGAGGAGTTGCAGTTTCAGAAAACATGACATAATCACTTTAACAAGCAGTAAGATTTTAGAATAATCCTTAGTTGACCTCTGTAGCTGCAGACGCTGTGGAATAATTCATCCTCAAACCCCTCTAGAGAAGCACTGAAGTGTTCATTTGGATTCATCACTCTGTTCTCTCCCCTCTTATGGGCAAACTGTTCCGTGACAAACGTCTGTTGACAAACTTTGATCATAAAATCGGAGGAGACCGATGGAAAAACGTGAACATTGACTGAATCCGCGAGTGCTGGCTGTCTGTATACTATAGTTAACATGGGAGATTCCTTCATCCACGCTGTTTAGTGTCATTGGAGGAGTCAATTAGATTTCTCTCATTGATGCCGCAGGCTGAATAAGAGAAATCTACACATGTATGGCAAGCCTTAGAACGGTACAGTTCAGTTCCTACTTGATTTGGAATAGTTCCTACTTTCTAGGGTTAGCGCACAGTTTCTATAGGAAGTATTCATCCCCCTTGGAAGTTTTCCAGAGCTCCTGAACACAGACTTAGAGTGTTTAAACACAGTGCTGAGGCTGTGTGCAGGAGAGCGGCTCCCAAACAGAACCCTTAGCACTGTTTGCTTACATAATGTATGCTGAGGCATCGTTCAGGAGCTGCTGTCAGTAACGGCAGCCAAAGGTGGGGCAACAGAGGGTATCCAGAAACAGAAGAATCCAGCCCGCCAGGAATGGTCCGATCTTTGGTGTACTTTTCCCTGGCTAACTCAGCAGTAACTTGGTAAAATCATTGCCCAGAGGGGACCATAGTATACTGTTGTATTTACAAATAAAAATATAATGTTTGCTCTGTTGACATGGATTTATTAAAATAACAAACATAAGGCTACAAAAGAAATCTCACCGCTCCAATTCCTTAGCCGCCATCAGGACTTCCCAGATGCTGGTCTAATAGGTGCGTCTCCACCTTGGAATGTAGTAGTATATGAACAGACCGCACTATTCAGATAATTCCAATACTTCAGACGCTATTGAACTTCACAGCAAATCCAGTATATCAGTGAATAAAAGTGTATAAAGCAACAAATGCCAGCACTGCACACCCCCAACCAACTACAACCTCTCACATGTTTCACCCGTACGCTTATTCATAGAGGTCGTAAAAACCTAACCACTATGTGCTGTGACCTGCATCTTTCTGCACAAGAAAAACGCAGGTCACTGCTAAGAATTGTTCTCTTATGTGCCCCGTTCACACCACAACATGGGTGTGATGTGTGCTGAGGAAAAAGGCAGACATGCTGCACTGCATGTCACCGCAACACACCACGCTGCTGTGCAGAGACCTGAATGGAGTGTATAGTTTGTAGAGGGTGCATTGCGCATGTGAGGGGAAGCAGGCCCATAACATTCACAGCCGAGGCAAAAATTAACATATGAGTGCCTGTAAAGCCAGTAACTTCCCCGCATAGGCACTCACGTGTTAATTTTTGGCTCAGTTGTGGATGTTATGGACCTGCTTCCCTGCACATGCGCAATTGCCAGTCAAACCTCTGGACCTGATCAGCGGCTCTGAGCGCGGTTCTAGATTTTTAACGGAAAATAGAGAAGAGTCATTTGCACTCCAACTTGAATATAGTCAATATTTATTGACCTCTGTCAGCTTCAGTGTCACATGTCAGCTCTAAGTATGGGGAGGGGTGCATTTCACTCTCCCAATAGTTCTCCATTAACACATCGTTGGTGTCAGTGGAATAAAGTAAGCCTCCATCGTGGTGTCAGTGGGAGTAAAAGAAGTGCCATTGTTATTATTAGAAGTAAAAGAAGTCTCATATCCTTGGTGTCAGTGGGATAGAATAAGCCCCATATTGTTGGTGTAAGTGGGAGCAAAATTATTGCTGTTAGTGGGGGCAAAATGTACCCTAAATTGTTGGTGTCGGCAGAAGCAAGAATAAGCATTGGTGTTCAGTGGTGAGCACACTGTTACTGCGTCACTCTGGCACCGTGCAGCCACTCTGCAAAGTGTCCAGTATCCTGCGGACAGGCTGTGCGGCTCAAACATCACAGGACAGTACTAAAAATCCTGACACTTTACAACTATGAACTCAGGCCTGTCTTCTCCCAACTAACTGGATCTAGACAAGGTGAGCCTGGACAGTGAGGCAGACAGCAGCTTGCATATAAGTATTTGTATCAGAGGTGTTGTATGAAGCAGACATGACAACTCCAGAGAGAGCCAGCAGTTGGTAAGATCCAACACTCCCAGAAGTACATTTACAATGATTCTGTGCACATACTGTATATGTACTATTTCTACAGTATGGATTAAAGTTCATTTAACACCTAACAATAAATGTCTCTAATTTGCTCCCTTTTGGTCTGTTTATTATGTCATTGGAAGCATTTGGTAATATAGGTTTGTTTCTTGTCAGAAATTCAGAGCTGTTCAGTGCCCTCTGCACACACACTGTATAATCTCAAAGAGCTCTCCCACCTTTTATCTTGGACTACAAAACAATTAGCCTTTATAGGCTTGTGAAGA